TTTTAATCTCCTTGTTGAATTGACATGCTGGTATGTAAGAGAGCTTGGGTAAGCACGAAGAGATCTAGTCTGACTCAGAGTAATTCCCATCTGAAATAAAAATGTGGAAGTGCTGGATTAATGTTGACAAATATGCTGTTCCATGTAAGTACCAGAGGGACCCCAGGAGTTTACTTTAAATTCTGATTCGGTGGCAAGATTGTCCTGGGAACCCATGGAGAAACCTGAGATGAGAACAGATTCAGATCAGTGTCCCTGCCAGAATCTCTGGGCTGAGCAGATGACCAAAAACAGACAAAAGATGGGTGTTCTCAGTACAAAGAGAAAGGTCAATTATGGGTGGTCATGAACAGACTTTCTCTCTTTCAGCTAAGACAGGACAAAACAGGATATTCTTGAGGGGTAAAGGGCTTCCAGGATGCACTCTGGCAGTTAAGAATGGAGACTGAAATAAATCACAAAGAATTGGTATAAAGTCTCATTGTTGAAGATTTTGAATGGTAGAGGGAGGATAGACTGATACCTGTGTTTTCAGTGACATTTTATGTAAAGACTAGGTAACTTCTTGGGGTCTTGACTCTACTAATGTTCATATGTAACAGTCCACATCACACGGTTTAAAAGATTAAAAACACCATTTGAAACACTGTTTTAAACTTTTTACAGAGTTGTTTTTAAACTTCATTCTTGAATCCCAAATCCTACACTTATTAAGTTGGAGTTGTTTAACAAGCTTGAATGATAATTTTATCTATAGAATGGAGCTAACAGAATATACATCATGGAATACTTCTAAGATTGAAACAATTTCACATATTCAAAGTGCTGAAGAGAATGCCTTGTGCATAGAAGGTACTCAAGACATAATATGTCATTTCTCCCTAAACAAAGACACACACACATACACTGGCTAAGAAACAATCCTTGTCAGATAAATCATATGTCACTAAATGTTAGAAAGAGTCCTTTATTTTATTACAAGATAAATAAAGGGTTACTAGATATGAATTTCCTCATTTGTGGGGGGTGTTGTGATGTCATGATGGTTTAAGCAATGTTTTCAAGTATGCACAGTTGTTGGGTAATCAAGAAGATACTTAATTATAAACATCAGCTCTTCAAAATTTAGTGTGAGCAAGATGTTTGCTTTTTAAAAAAGAGAACTGAGTATTAAGACGTAGTATTTTTTTTAATGTCTAAACTTCTTTATTTGGGGGGATAGGCAGTAAAGAAACTAAGAATATATTTATTTGTGTTAAATGCCATCAGGTATAATATGGGAACTAATTTTACTTTTAACTGTTTATAGTTTACTGCATATCCAAACTGAAAAGCAGAAATAAATAATTTGATTATTACTTTATCTAGTTTTTGTTCATTCATAAGCATAACTTTGGTTCTTAAATTGATGTCAATTGTATATTGTAAATGCTGTAAAATAAACTTTATAAGCCTGAGCTTAAGTTTTTATTTAGAATTTTTTTCAGACACTATACATGTTACAACATTTTTGCAATGGCTGTATATCTGAAGTCTTACTATGTTCAAGGACACAACTAAGTTACTGAGATTAAATACAGTCCCAAGAAGACCCTTGAAAGCACACATAATAATAATCTGAAAAAAATGTCTGAAAGACTCAGTAATACTTTAGTTATCTGTAAAACTATAAGTCAACTAATATTTGCTTTAAATACTCATAAAATTATTTATTCACTTAAACCTTAGTTACAGACTATATAATATTACTGGCATTGTGATATAACAAATTTTACAAACATATCCTTCCGTTCAAAGAGCTGTTATTTTTTTCATTTTTTTACCATTCTTATTAATTAAACGAATTATGTTGATTCCACTTATCTGAGTGAGGATAATTTTGCAGTAGCAAGATAAAAACATTATTATTTAAAACAGAATGGACAATGACCTGTCATAAGCTAAAAGGTGTTTCTCCAAAATTCAACTGTTAAAGTCCTAACCCTTAGTAGTGCAGAATGTGATTGTATTTGGAGATAAAGTCTTCAAAAAATGATTAAGTTAAAAGGAGGTATTAGGGTAGGCCAGAATCCAATCTGAATGGCATCAGAAGAAAAGGAAATTTGGGCATACAAAGAGATACCAGAAACATTAGAATACACAGAGCAAAGAACAGAGCTAGAAGGTGGTTGTCCACAACCTATACACTGGAGTAGATTCTTGGATTAATTATACTCTAGTAAAGTTTGGGAAACTGATGGAATTACCTCTGTTGATCTAGAAGAGCACCCCAAGCAACGGTGTGAAGAAATCAGAGACCTTGCACTAAAAATCATAAAAGATAAGTGTTAATAATCAACCTTCAGTGGATGTCCTCTTTATAGGGTCACCTATGCTTGCTGTACTTGCCTTTGTTCTGTTCCTCACCATCAGGCATCTTTGCCAAGGACTCCTTGGCAAATGAATGCCCTGGGATTATCTACTCCCCTAAACAGCTATCTCTCTTCTAAAGTTTAATTGCCTTCCCCCATACAACACTTAATTTCCTTCACTGGGGTGAAACATCTGTGGCCACAACATTGTTTTAAGAATTATTCGTCTATTTTACTTCTTATTTCTGCTACTGTTGGCAATAGAGCTTTTCCTTTTAGCTCCTTTTTGTATGCTACACATATTTGGTCCATGCATATTTAGCCTCCTTGTAAAATTTGTTGATTTTCACCTAGAGACCATCAAACTCCAAGTAGTCATGCAAATAGAGCCATGGGCATTGGCTCCCATTACCAGGGAAACACTTAGGCGTCTGAGAGATCTGACTGCCGTTTTCCCAAAACAACGCACCCAGTCAGCATGAAGCAGTTAAGAGCGGTTACTGTCTATATCCAAAGAGCAGTTAGATATACCTCATCAGAGGGGGCATTGACGGCAAAAGGAGGCAGACAGCTTCCTAGACAGATAGGGACAGGTCCCTGGTAAAATCCAACCTTCAAGCCAAAGACAGCCTGAAGCCTGAAAACCCAGCTGCCAGTTCTGCGTAGGGTCCACGACCAGAGTGAGAACATCCTCAACGCTTTTTGCCAATCAAATGGTGCTTTTCCCAGGCCTGCCCATGGACCAGTCAGAATGCACTCCCCCATTCTGAGCCAGTGAAAACCCTGAACGCAGCCATGCACTGGGTTACCCACTTTCTGCGCCCTCTCTCAAGGAGATGATTACCCTCTTTTGGGTCCCCTCTCCACTGAGAGCTTTCCTTCTGTTGCTCAATAAAATTCTTCTCCGCCCTACTTACTCTCCAGTGTCTGCACACCTAATTCCTCTTGGTTGCAGGACGAGAACCCGGAACTCACTGCACTGTGGGCGGCGGGAACAAACGAGCTATAACGCAAATGAACCGTAGAAGCAACGGGCTGTTACACACCCCCTTTTGCCATGTTGCTGGCGGCAGGAATCGGAGGCAGCTATAACATTTCTCGGTGGCACAGACCACAGAACTCCCCTGGTGAAAGTCACAACACCCCTTTGGGGCTCCGCAGTTGCTTGCAACTCCGAATTTTTGGGCACCGCCACGTCCCCCTCACCCAGACACCGGTGCCCAAGCTGGAAGCCAGCTGCGCCATGTCTGGACCAATCACGGGCTGAGCGCAGAGCGACTGCGGGAGCGGGTTCTGGGCTGTACCGCGAGTTGAGTGCAGCCCACTGGGTTGAGTAGGTAGCAGCAAGCTCTGTGGGCACGAGCGAAGCCCGGACAGAGGCGCCAATGACTATGGAGATTTCCGGCTACTAAAGCAGGGTCAAAAAACTCCTGTAACCCAGTAACCGCCCCCTCCTGCTGGTGGAGCAACAGCGAAGAAAAGAGGCTGCTTGGGTGCCATTCCCTCCACATGCTGGACTGTAGAACCCTGTGCCACTAATTTATGTATAGAGTATCTCTGAAGAGATAAAAAATAATTTTTACCTCTGAAAAGTAGAACTAGTGGTTAGGGAACAATAATAGAAGGAAGTACTACTATTCTTTGAATATCCTTTTAATTATCCTTTACATCATGTTCATATACGATCTATTAATAGGCACTGTTTTTTGTTTTTGTTTTTGTTTTATTTTTTTCCTTTTTTTGAGACAAGAGTCTCACTCTATCACCCAGGCTGGAGTGCAGTGACAAGATCTCAGCTCACTGCAACCTCCACCTCTTGGGTTCAAATGATTCTCGAACCTCAGCCTCTCAGGATTACAGATATGTGCCACCACACCTGGATAATTTTCATGTTTTTAGTAGAGATGAGCTCTTGCCATGTTGGCCAGGCTTGTCTCAAACTCCTAGGCTCAAGCAATCTACCTGCCTCAGCCTCCCAACGTGCTGGGATTATAGATGTGAGCCACTGTGCCGGGGCCTGTTTTTTCAGAAGCTTAACGGCATACAATTTTGAAAATTAAGCTTAATAATAGTATTCTAACTTCATCTGAACTCCAAGTATTTTATAAGCTGTACTTATTAAATATATGTATTGGACTGATTCTAAAAGAGAAAGAGTGAGCAATAAAATAGGGATTTTTTTAGCTTGGAAATAGGAATATAAAGTAAGTATATATACATAAATATTTTTCACCTTACTGTATATAATAAAGTGACAAATGAGACATTATCAATTATAAAGAACTAAAATTTTTATCTTGCTATACACAGAATCTTTTTAAAATAAAATAAGTCAACTTCTTGTGTGTGTGAATAAAAAATCTTCTAAAGCAAAAATGACTTGTGGTAAAGAGCTTTCTATATGAAAATATCACCTTGAACATTCTATATTTCAAAGAGAAACATAGACTAAATAAAATGGAGAAACAACTTGGAATAAACATTTGCACCACAAATGTTAAAGAGTTAATATTTGAAGTATTTTGAATGTTTTATATGTAAATAAAAAATTATCCAACCTTCTAATAAATAAGCTATGAAGATGAATAGACATTTTACAGAACTAGAATGACAAATGGTTAATAAACAAAGGAAAATATTCAATCTTACTTAAAATAGAAAATGCAGCTAATTTTATTTCAATATGAGATGACAGTTTTACTTGTCTCTGTTCATTTTGTTTCCTGGAAACATAGATACAAGAAATAATTCTTACAAATATTTCAATTTTATGATCAATATTTTTCAGGGTAAAGTAGTTTTAAGAGACAGGCAGCTAGATTGGGGTATTTCTAGGGGAATATCGTCCATTTTGCAACATTCACCCTAAAATCATTACAGTACTTGTAATGTTTTACATAATCAAGTGTAATCTGCATTTTATTAGGCCTTAAAAACTTTTGGGTTACAATAACAGAAATATTTCCTGTCTTTTGCTTTTTACTGTGTAGTCACCTGAAGTTTTTCTTCCCCTTTTTCCTCCCAGCTTCCCTTCTCAGTCCGTTTCTTTTTCTTTCTTTTTTTTTCATGCAACAATGTCTTTTATTATGTATCTGGTTTGAAAATTATTTATTGAATCTCTCCATACACAGGCAAAAATAAGTGTGCCACTTAACATACTGGAACTTGCCTAACTTAATCATTGCCTAGAGAAGGGAAGATTATCCCCAAAACATGCTTAACCAGGAGGCCAATGCAACTGCCGACCTCCAAGAACATGGAGATGAACGTGATAGACAGACTGTCCACCATCTGAACCTTCATTCACTACCATTCGGTAACTCTTATTCAGGCCCAGATCTGCAGCACATTTCTTGCCAACAATCATTAAGTGTCCAAGAAGACTTTCATCATCATCTTCTGCTGCAGAAATCTGGGATATATGTTTCTTGGGTATCACCAGAAAATGTGTTGGTGCTTGAGGAGAAATGTCGTGGAAAGCAAGGCACCGGTCATCCTCAAAAATGATTTTGGCTGGGATTTCCTTGCGGATGATCTTCCCGAAGATCGTGTCGCCACCAGGCCGAGCGACCTGAGCCTTGGCGATCTCATCTGCCATCTCTCCTCAGTCCGTTTCTTTCTTTCCTCCTACCTTTTTACACACACTTTGTAAATTGTAAATTTTTAATATTTACTTTCAGTTCTTTTTAATACATGAAATAAGATAATATAGATAAAATACCTAAACTTTTATAGTATTTCTTTTTTACTATACTCTGTTCAATGTGTTTTCCATATATTTGTCATAACTCCAGATGTAACTAGTATATTAAATCATCTGTTAGCTAATCCTAATTATAATTTTATGAGTTAGCGTCTACTATTATCCCCATTTTATGAATGAAGAAACTGAGGTGAAGAGAGCTTATATAGTTTTTCCAAGGTTCATGTATTGTAAATGGTAGCACCAAAAAACCCAAGCTTGGTAGCAGTGGAGTCCCTGCTTTTATTTTCTCTCCTATTTTAGAAGTGATACATAGTACTTCTCCTTAAGACATAAATATTTCATGATATTTATAGTTAACTATATCTTTTACAGTTATCTTAGTTTTTATAATTTTGTTACGTGGTCTCTTTTTAGTCAGTATCTTCATTCTTTATTTGAACAAGACAAGAATTTAGCACATTCTGCTTTCTAAATTCTCCCTCCAATCTTCCTTATTATTGTTGTCTAGTGTTTAAGTTTCACATTGCTAGTTTGTAAATGTTGTCACAAATTAATTTTAACTTCTACTCAATATTTATTTTGGGTACTTTACAAACACATATCTCTGACTTCCTTGCTCATCATCGATACTTGCATGGTACTTTTTTTCTCCTAGGTTCTTGTTTCATCTTGCTGAAATATATTCACTGGAAGTCCTTTCGGTATGGTTTAGAGGTGATATGGTTTGGCTCTGTCTCCCTACCCAAATCTCGTGTTGAATTGTAATTCCCAATGTTGAGGCCTCCCCAGCCATGCCTTTTGTACAGCCTGTGGAATTGTGAGTTGATTAAATCTCTTTTCTTTATAAGTTACCCAGTTTCAGGTAATTCTTTATAGCAGTGTGAGAATGAACCAGGATAAGGGATATTAAATTCTTAGTCTCTTGTAGATACAGAATATTATAATCTCTACAATCTTCAACTTAGACTTTGCTGGGAAGGACAATAGGAGTTTATAAGCCCAAAGTATGAGCTTAATGGGGGAAACTTGGAAAAAAATTAGAAGACAATTACAATTAGACTTTGGAAAGGTAAACTTCTGATTAAACCATAGATTATATAGATAAGAGAAAGTAAGCAAACTTTAACTGGTGAATGACTATAAAATTACATTAAATTTATAGTGTGTGGGTTTGTTTGTTTTCTTAGGTTCCCACTGTGTCACCAGGCTAGGGTGCAGTGGTGCAATTACAGGTCACTGCAGCCTCAACATCCTGGGCTCAAGCCATCCCCCAACTCAGCCTCTCCAGTAGCTGGGACCACAGGCACATGCCACCATACTCAGCTAATTTATTTAAAACAAATTTTTAGAGAATGAGTTCTCCTTATGTTGCCCAGCTGGTCCGAAATTCATGGCTTCAAATGACCCTCCTACCTCAGCCTCCTAAAGAGCTGGAGTTACAGACCTCACCCATTGTGCTAAGCCTTTGTTTGTTTTTTATATTATCATCATAAAGTTGAGTTTCTCTTTACATATGTTTTCTAAGAAGAATAAAATGATTTATAAATTTGCTTGATTTATAATCCTGAGTCCCCAAATGTTTTTTAAAAGAACTATATTTGTTAAAGTATTTGTCCTAGAAAACTGTTAAACTAGTAAATTTTTTCTGTCATCGAAAAAAATGTGAAATTAACTCATTATATAGACTGTGGTTGAATTCTCGTAACTTCAATTACACATAAGTGATTTGAGTTCCCTTGTTAGAAATAGCAAGCTCCTTTGTGGCTGCAGCTGAATGTCTATTTTTTTGTTCTTACTATTGAAGGTGGTAGAATTCTATATTTACAGGGATTTTCCCTGAGCATTTTGAATACTTTATTCCATTGTATTTACTCTGGCATCTACTTTCACTGATGAAAAATCTACTACCATTATAATTAACTGATTTTCTTTTTATTTGTGTGGCTTTAAAATTTTTAAACTAAGTTTTAAGCCTATGAGTACATCTTCAATTTAGAGATTTATATCCTGCTTTTACTCTGAAGTTCTCAGCCATTATTGCTTAGATATTTCCTTTACCTAGTCTTTCCTTCTGGAACCCACGTTGGGCTTTTCTTTTTCTTTTTTGGAATTTTTCATGCTTTATTTCTCTCTACTCTGTGATATAATTTCTCTCTACTCTGTGATGTATTCTAGCTGATTTCTTCAGATCATCTTCCATATTTCTAATCTTCTCTTTAGCTGTGCCTACTGTAGTACCTATGCTACTTACAGGATATGTTTTTAAATCCTGAAGATGGTATTTTTCAACTGTGGGATTTTTACTCATCTATTTTATCCATGTAATGCTCTTATCTTATGGGATGATTCCTTTCTTGTCTCTTTGAACATTTTAAGCTACACTTTTTAAAAGGCCAGTTCAATCATAATTTCTCTAATTGCTTAGGTATGCATTCCACACTTATTGGGTCTATGGACACTCTCTCCTTTGAAATTTTTTGTGTGTTTTATAATTTTTATTCATGAAGTCAACTTAAGTTGGAAATATGTTGTCTGGGAGGTCATCACATATCATTTTCCATAGAACTTCTCCATAAGACTATGCATAACTCTGCTTAGGTGCAGTGAGGTCCACTAGTTTTGAATCTTTCTTCTATTTTACACTGTATTTCTCAGCTTGGAATTCCTATGCCATATGAGTAATGTAATTTTAAGCCCCTGCTTCTTATTGGTATATAGTCAAGTTCTGGTTTTTGGAGTTGACTGTTGCTACCCGTAGCCTGGGCAATTTTTTCCCATTTACTGAAATCTTTTGACTGTCTGGTGCAGATTTTCTGGTCTTTGATCATAAATAGAATAGAAATTTCCTAGCTCAGGGCTCCATCTTCTCATGAGATCATAACCATCCTAAGGCATCTTAAGGCTAATAATGCCCTAAGGCATCTATCTGATACAATTCCAACCACAGTTCCTTTTCCCACATGATGGCTTCAACTTTAGTGCTATGACTCTAGAATCATTCTCGTTTTGACACATAGAGATTTCTATTTCTGTCTTTTTAATTCAGTCACGTAGCAGCAACTTCTGACATTCAAATAGTTTTCCAGGTTAAAATGTTTGCAGAAAAATGTTAAAACTATGATGATATCAAAGACCATAGAAAAAGAACTTTACACAATTATCTTATGAACTCCAATGATGGCATCAGCTTCAATTGCTCTAACTAAAAACAAAATGTAGCAAATCTTTAATACATCATCTTGTGACAGAGTTGTTTGTAATAAATGAATATTCCTGCTGAAGTGATATTGTTGAAGTTCAAGCTGTCTCACTTTGTACTCCAAGGTTTTCAATAGAACTGATATTTAAATAGCCATCTGTAATTTTGAATAGATTCTGTTTGAATCACATAATAGGCAGTGAACAGCAAATTATCAAAATGAGTTTGCTGAAGAGAAAGGAAGGATAGCACTTTACTAGCCAGCACAGAAACAAGAATTGGCACTGACATTTCAGAACATTTTCAGACATATCCTAACAGATAACTTTTTCTTTGTCATACATTTTGGTGATAGTGACTCTAATCCCATTATTATGTTTGTGTAGCAGTCTCTCATTAATAAAAACTTGCATAAAGAGCTTTACATGGATGACACACAGGAAAAGCCATGACACATAACTTTAGCTGCAATAATTTTTTTGTGCTTCCTGTTTTATTCGTGCTGCTCTTCAACAAGCTGTAACACATTTCCTACGTAAGTATGGAGTCAAAAAAATTTTATGACTAAATTTTACATCAGGATTCTATCAACGTACTTTGAATAGGATGTTTTGAAAGCAATCTGTTAGAAAATCTCTGATGCTCAATATTTCAGATTTTTTCACATCTTTTGAAAACATAATGTTTTAAAAATGGCCAAGATAGGAGCAATAGTATCCTTGGAAAGAAAATTATTATTTTGTTTGCTTTTCATTTCTACCATCAAAGATCTTCGACAGGGTGTGCCTACGACTAATTGGGATAGAAAAGATATACAGTATTATTGAAAATATAGATTCCTAGGCACTGCTTACTGGAATTCTGATTTTATTTATTTCTGTTAAAGCCCAGAAATCTTTATTTTAATAAACAGCAACTGCACGATTACTTTTCACATTAAATATTGAGAGCCATTGATACGAGGCTGTATAAAAAGAGCCATTGATACGAGGCTGTATGAAAGTGCAAGACAGTCAACACACCAATTAAGGTATTCAGAGTATGCAGATCTCTATGGAGGCTCGGTCATTCCTTTGATTATTTCAAGGCCACAGTCATTTGTAGGACAATCAATACTTAGAATTCAATGAAGAGTTTTATCCTTGCTACACATAGTGAAGGCAAGTGGCATTTATCAAATGTCATCTGGCCAGAGGCAGCGGCTCGCACCTCTAATCCCAGCACTTCGTGAGGCCAAGAAGGGAGAATCACATGAGGCCCGGCGTTCAAGACCAGCATGGGCAACATAGGGGGGCATCATACCTACAGAAAATTTAAAAAGTTACCAGGCATGGTGACACATGCCTGTGGTCCCAGTTACACTGGAGGTTGAGGTGGGAGAATTAATGCATGAACTCAAGAGGTGGAGTCTGCAGTGAACTATGATTGTGATGCTGCACTCCAGTATGGGTAACAGTGCAAGATTCTGTCTCAAAACAAAAAGTGTGTGAGTGTGTGTATACACATTTTATGAGATATATGTATATATAGATATCTACACACACATAACTTCATACATTATATATATACATATATATATATGTCATGCAGTTTGAAATTTATAAACTGGATCTATAGAATCTAATTAAGAAAAGTACAGGAATGTGGGCAGTTTTTCAAGGAGAGATGGTAACATAGAGGTGATTAAAACATGAATGAATTTAAAGAGTTTAGGA